CTGGGTGCATTGCCGGAGCCCCAATTCATTCCCCGAGCGTTTGGGAGCCCCTGCCGGTGTGCTGCCCCTGCCGCGCCACTGTTTCGGAGAGACGAGACAAAACTTGGAGATTGCTCGCCCGGCTGCCGTTCGCGTGGAGGGATATTTCACCACTGCTGCACTGGCGGAGGCAAGCAGGTCCAGGGTGCATCTCTACTCGAATAAAGCTCCGGGGCAAACTCCACACTATGAAAGGAACAGGAAGCCTCTCTGTTCATTAGAACCACATTGCTCCGCTCCGCTTGCGCGTCTATCTAAACATGGGAGGATTTCTTGTCTACGCTCGACTTCAAGCTTGAAAGTCCACAAGCGTACGCTTCAGGTTTACCAGTGTAGTGTGTTCGGGATCGATCTGCCGATTGTACTTACAGTGCGCTTCCTTCCCTATTACGGCACTCTGTGTGTGTGTGTGTGTGTGTGTGGTGTGTGTGTGTGTGTGTGTGTGTGTGTGTGTGTGGCCCACTACGGCACACTGGCCGCGTGGCCAGAGCTTCGGTCAGTTTGGCGTCTAGTTTGCAAGCGAGTTTGCCCCCACCAGCGCTTCTTCCGCAGTTCGCCGCGGGGAGCGGCACGGAGAGAGAGGGAGAGAGAGAGAGAGAGAGAGAGAGAGAGAGAGAGAGAGAGAGAGAGAGAGAGCGAGAGTGGCCGGGCTTCTTGTCAGGCCCCGTCTACCTCGCAATGAATCAAAACAAAGCGTGGCCCTAAAGGCGGCGAGGGCCGGCGGGGCCCTGGAGGGGCACTGGAGGGGGCATGAGCAACGATAGGGAAAGAACAGGCGGCGTTAAATGATGTAAATGAGCGGTGCAGCCGGCAGGGCGCGCCACGGCGGGCATGGGGCAGAAGCTCCACTCCGAACACGGCCTTTCCTCGCTCCGTCACTCTCGCGCCTCTTCGGTACGCCCCACGAGTGCGAGAGAGACAGAGCGACGAAGTTCGGAATGAGCCTCCGCAGGCCGCGCCGTTCCCATGCGACCCGCCGCCTCCTCCACCAACAATTTGAATCCGCGAACCCCGCCGACGGCCTCATGTCCATAAGCGCACCGCCCCCGCCCTTTTTGAGGACCTCGCTTCGCTTCGTTCTGCATGCTGTAACTTTACAATCTCTCTCTTTCTCTCTCTCTCTCTCTCTCTCTCTCTCTCTCTCTCTCTCTCTCTCTCTCTCTCTCTCTCTCTCTGCTCTTTCCATATTCTCGTCTCTGTTTTTAGGGCCCACCTGATCTCCGTCGCTGCTGTGTGTGCACTCTGTGTCGTGCAGCTGTGCAGCGCTGCTGGCTGGGGAGGATGCAGCAACGCGGACTGGCATTCGAAACGTTCGTTCCACACTCTCACGGGAGCAGACAAGCAGCAAGCGGATATGGAAATTTTATTTCATAATAGAGGGCTCATTCGGATTGGATAGATCGCTTTAACCGGCTTTAACTTTCGATTTCCGCTTGCAAGCTTGTCAGAAAAGTGCAAAAAAAATGACAGTTTTCTGCTGGAACTAATTCCCCTCCTCCCTGCCTCCCCCCCCTTCTCTCTCTCTCTCTCTCTCTCTCTCTCTCTCTCTCTCTCTCTCTCTCTCTCTCTCTCTCTTTCTCTCTCTCTCTCTCTCTCTCTCTCTCCACCCACACAGACAATACACAAAAAATGTTTCTTAATTTTTCGTTTTTGGTTAAAAAAAAACGTTAACGCTAACGCTAACGTGAAAGCAGATGATACTTATGGGAATGTTTATTTCAATGTATGAATGTGACATTTTGTCAATTTATTTCAAAGAGTAAACACTCGGAACTCTTTTTTTGACAAATTTGTTACACATGGTAATTCATGGAAATGTCAATTTTAGTATAACTTTTGAATATCCTAACGTGCCATTGTTTTGTGTTAAACATGTTCGCAATGACGGTGGGGCACTCATATGTCCGATACCACTTGTGTTGGGTATCATTTTCGTTGTTTCAACGCGAGGATGCACAATTTGGTGGCTAATCACATAAATACTCAATACCCGTAAAAGTTGTGTTCGGTACTAGGGCAAGGCGCCTTGCGGCACGCGGCGTGTCAGCCACATCTCCAAGCGGGGCCGGCCGGCCGGCGCGCCACCCGAACCCGACCTCAAGATAGATAAGCAAGAGTGGCGCACACTGCCGACGCGCCGCTTCTCGAGAGGGGCAGGGGTTCGGGGGGCGCTGAACTACGCGTTCTACGCACTCAAGGCTCAAGTGCGTGTGTGTGTGTAGACTGCTGCGGGGTGTGGCGGGGCGCGGCGGGACGTGGCGTCTCGGCTAGGGAATGGGCGAGGGGGGCAGCTACGCGATGCGTGCTAGCAGCGTCTCGTGACGACGCGCAACGCGAGGGACGCACTTCTTGAGTACTAGAGAGCTGGGTGTCGAGGTTATACGCCGCGCGCGCAACCCGAGGCCCCGCAGGCGCCCCGATTCATGGTGCGGCGGGCGACGGCGCGGCGCGGCAGACTGCGGGCCCTCCGCTCATAATCTTCTAGGCAGGCGAGCCAGCCGGTGCCTTGCCAGCGAGGCGCTCGGCCTCTTCTAGGCTTGCTAGTCAGGCAACGAGGCAACTCCTGCCTGGCTAGCCGGAAACTCGGTACTCTCTGCACGAGAGTACAAGCACGCTGATACGTGAACGTATCATCTGCTAAAAAAGAAAACAAATGTTTACACACAATAATAGTTTTTTCTTACAACGGATTGAAAAAATAAACTAATTTTAAGATTGTTATGTTCTTTTTGTTCAAGAAGTCTTTTTTGCGTGTGTGTGGTCTAGACTTTTCAAATGCGATCGCGCCTTCCCCAGTCTCCCCCACGCCAGAGTGACGTCACTCGGCGCGGCGCCTCGCTGTCTGCGGGCGGCGCTGCGCGGCGCCTCGTGTGCAAGACGAATGCGGCAACGCGGCCCTAAGTGCTGCCGCATCTCCATACTTTTCGGTCGCGGCGGCTCGGCACGACACGGCACGGCAGGGCACGGCAACGCAAGGCAGTGTACGGCACGGCAGGGCACGGCTCGGCGCGCTTCCGCAGTCCCCGGCCGACATTAGCATGTGTATATGGGAAGTTGCCAAAATTGTGGGTCCTTTTGTGTCTTTGGGCCACAGTTTCCTTATTTTTCGACGTATTGACCTGCGGTTTGATTCCTATGACTGGGCTTCATCTCCCCTGCTATCCCACACACTAACCGAGCATGCAGTCCAAGCATTTTCCTGTCAAAACAGGCTAAAACTGGGCAAAATGTAACTTCCGTGCTGTCCATTGTCCAAAAAGTCCGTGTTCCAAGGCGAACATCTCCTGAACTATTTGTCGGAGAGCAAATCCGCGAACAGCCTTTTGTTCCGTTGGCAACCCTTTATGACACCCTTGGATAGCAATTTCTTCCTGTGACTCTCACCTCCTGCTTTATTGGATGAAAAAATGTCCACCGTGTACTGGTTTTCAAACATCGTCAGCTTTAGTTTCGCGCCTCAGCGCCGAACCTGTAGCGGGAAAAGTTCGGCTCAGCGTCCAGAATCAGCAGCACGGTTTCCTCTTTCCAGCGCGGTAGGTGGATTTTCGCTGGAGGGCTCCATTCCGGCTGGCTAGACCATCGAAGGTAAAAATCCGGCATGTGTCAGGTTTGTGTGTAACATTCCGTGTCATCAATAGCGAGCTTGCTACTCGACCTACCGACTTCAGTCCACCTGGCCATTTTGCGCTTTCACGTCTTTTAAACTTTAGGCGAGACACCTGTTCGATTTGGTGAACGGGTTGGTCCGTTTTCGCGGTTTGTTTGATGATGTAACTTCCGTGCCATGCACATTTTCGGTAACTTCCGTGCCATTCCCCCATGTAAAGTATAGGGGAAAAATCGAAGTGCGAGAAAATCCTGGCCTCCTTCGGAAATGCGTTTAGAATGACCCCTAGAATACAGGAAAAATACTAAAAAAAATTTAGAACGAGATATTTTTTTCATTTTTTTAGGAGCCAAAAGGAGCCACAATTTTGGCAACTTCCCATATCCGGTCCCACTTCCCTCCCCGTTTTCAAGTTGCCGCCAACTCGGCCCGGCCTGCAGTGTCCCCGCGATTGCGGCGTGCCTGGCGGCGTTCGATCGCCGGCGGGATGATTCTGCGCTCCGTCTCTCTCGCACCCCCTACGGGACGGCCCACGAGTGCGAGAGAGACAGAGCGATGAACCGCGGTGTCGGGATCAGCCTTGATGAACCCGCACTCTAAAAGCCGTAAGGTGAAGATTCTCCATATCATGGAGAAAATTCTCTGTATTATGGTGGTGAAGCTGACTTCGTAACTTACCTTCGAAAAGTCTGTGTACCTTACAGATATTTTGTCAAAGTTCGTTTGTACTATGGCTGAAGAGGTGGTGTTCGGTCGTAGATTTGACATCGGTTTAGCACCGTGACGCGAGATGGTACCACCCGACCGCACCGTGGGCTAGAAGACCGGCGACGGCGGTGCGAATTGCAGATGCGTTTTAAGCTCCGGAGTCACTAAAGATGCCGAACGGAACGTGTGACCCCAACAATGGATTGCTCTCCGAACGAGGAATCCGCTGGTGGGGGCACAAGTTTGGTTCCAGTCCTGTTACGCGACTCTGCAGCTCAAAACGCGCGTAGAGTTTTGTCCGCCTGCGCCGGTCTTCTGGCCCACTGTGCGACGCCAAGTTGGTGCGGCGGTCCTGTCCGCGGCCCGGCGACCCGAAAGGCAGTGAGTGTGTTTGTCCCGCCGTAATTGCGCAAGTAGTCGTTAGAGAGTGTGTGCCTGAATAGTGGTTGAATAGCACTCAGCCATACATCACCGTCGCGCGCACGCGCGGACCGTTTTTCCCCGCACTTCGCTCGCAGTCCTGGAGTCTGTCGCTCTGTCTCTCTCGCACTCACGTGGCGCTCCCGACGGGTGCGAGAGAGTTAGAGCGACGAAGAAGACTCTCGGTCCGCTGCTCGTGCTCATGCTCCCCCTGTTCTTGTTGCAGCGACGGCGCTCCCCGTCATGTCGGTGGAGGGCACCTCGGTGCAGCTGCCCTGTGACGTCACGGCGCCCAGCCACGACAAGGTGTACATGGTGCTGTGGTTCAAGGACGACGCGGGGCTGCCGCTGTACAGGTAAGAGAAGGGAGAGTCTTGGAGGAGGGGAGGGGGTTTCAGGAACTAATGTCCGCTGAAAAAATGTCCACTTAATTTATGTCCGTTAGGAAATAATGTCCGGTGAAGAAATATGTCCACGTGGAAAGAATGCCCCCGAATTATATGGCCGCATTTTCAAATGTCCAACTATTTGTTTATCCATAGTGACAAATTAACTAAGTCCGTTCTCAAACAATTTTATTTGGCATGGCTTCCAAATGGCATTTAGCATCTAACAATGGCTGCACCTTGATGTTGTACGCAATTGTCTCTACACTACAAACCTGTGTACTTTGTACACACTTACAAATGCATACTTGGCAAGTTTACACGTACAAAACGCATGCTTGGCACCGTTTAACTCCATGCTAAGCATAGGCGTTTGCAAGTGTGTACTTGCCAAGCATGTATTTGTAAGTGTGTACTTGGTAGACAATTAGGTTTGTAGTGTAAGTACCTGAAATTCCTTCCACCTTTCGTTGTAATCCTCGTAGCTATTGGGCAGAATATGAATCGTGCGTCGGCACATCTCATTCTTCTCATTCATGCCCATGGATGACATGGATGTGTCCAGCCCCAACCCCACCAAGTACTTGGTGGAGATCATGTTCCTCAGACCTCCACTCGCAAACGATCCTCCACATGTTAGCATGATGCATGTCGACCACATTCGTTCGGTGCCGAAAAAACCTCAGGCCTTTATTAGGGGTGGTCATTAAATTATTGGACATTCTACCTTGGACATTGTGTGCATAGACGAAAAATCGATGGACAAAAACGGACCGGACATTTACCTGTGGACATTTCTTCACTGGGAGGGTGTTTAGGGAGAGGGGGAGGGTTTTGCAGCGAGAGGAGGTGAGGGGCCAGGGTGTTGCCATTCACGTTTGAGCCCCAGTGATCTGAACCCCAGTGGTCTCAGGCCTTGTGGTCTGTCTGAGACCCCAGTAGTCTGAGAGCCCAGTGTTCTGAGACCCCAGTGGCCTGAGGACCAGTCAGTGTTCTGAGATCCCAGTGGTCTGAGACCCCAGTGGTCTGAGCACCAGTGGTCTGAGTAGGGATGTAAAGGCCGGTAATATTACCGGTAAAGAACGGTATAATACGGTAAAATACCGTATTTTACGGAGACCCCGGTAAAATTGGTATTTTTCGGTAATTTTGAAATATTGACTTATTTGAACTTCTTTAGCTTCCATACGATTAGACAGGACGTGCGGACTGAAAATAGCGCTTCTTTTGAACTCTTGGTTTGTATCTGCTTCTCGTGCCACCCCGTGTACGTGTAAGACGTCTTGCCACTTAAAATTAATGTGAAGTTAATGTTCTCTTCTTTTGCAAAACTTGTGGAAATCAAAATCCATTTACGCGACCCAAATCTCCGAAAGGCAAATCAAAAACCTTTCTTTGTTGCCAAGGTTCATATAATTTTAACTTACTTAAAAAAGAGGTAAATCTAGGGGTAGATATTTGTTAGAAATTTGAGCTGAAAAGTGTAATGAACATTGGTATGGTTGTTGGACACCTTGCAGCCTTTAAGGAAAAAAGTTTCTTCATGGAATTGAGACAACTTACTTGGATTACGAGAAAAACGGCGCCCGTTTTGTTAATTCTTAAGTATATTTGGGCTGTTAACTTTGCTGCTCTACGCATTTCTTAATCCAGCCCAGTAGGAATAAGTGAAAAGCACTCAGATTCAAAATTAATTTAGGAGGGTCTAGTGGGAGAATAGTTCATATTTTTGACCCACAGGGTCTTTCGTCCTTGTCTATTTCAAATATGCGACATTGTCCTTGAGTCATGATGGTTTGCAACCATGTTTGGAACGATGCGGCCGATAATTAATGATACACCCTCACCCAAATGAACCTCTTTTCCCCCTATTTCCTAAGAAGAACCACAGTTACTTCTTTAAGTCAAGAAAAATCAATTTTACCCAATTTTACTGTATAATACGGTAAAATACCGTATTTTACCGTAATTTACGTAACTTTGAATCTTACCGGTATTTTTGCATCCCTAGGTCTGAGCACCAGTCAGTGTTCTGAGATCCCAGTGGTCTGAGACCCCAGTGGTCTGAGCACCAGTGGTCTGAGCACCAGTGGTCTGAGCACCAGTGATCTGAGTATCAGTGATCTGAGCACCAGTGGTCTGAGCACCAGTGGTCTGCGCACCAGTGGTCTGAGCACCAGTGGTCTGAGCACCAGTGGTGTGATATCCCAGTGGTGTGATATCCCAGTGGTGTGAAACCCCAGTGGTCTGAGCACCAGTGGTGTGATGCCCCAGTCGTCTGAGACCGAGTGAGACTGGAGGCCGAGGGGGTCATCAACCACTGATTGAAAAAAGGTACAATTGAGTGAGAGTATATGAAATTTCACTGTTAGTTTTGCCATGCTATTTGTCGGCATTCGGGCATTTATCTCACAGAGATTGCCTACTCAAAAGCGGGTTAGGGAAAAATCTAGTGAGAGTGAGACAGAGAAGGGTAGGGGAGAGGGGAGGGTGTTTCGGGAGAGGAGAGGAGGGCCGAGGGTCTTTCTGGAGAGAAGCAGAGGAGGGGACGGGAGTTGGCTGTGCCGCGGCGCAGCGACGCGCCGTGGCGAGTAAGAGCCGTGCGCTTGTTTGAGCCGCTGGCGCCGCTGGCCCCGCCGGAACAAGCCCGGCCGTGGCACGGCACGGCGGCCCCGGCACAAACCGGCAACTGGGCGGCTTTAATGAAAAGTTACGCGCGCGGGGCACTGTAGGCCGGAGTCAAAGGGAATGACATTGACTGCTCGACGGCCGGGCGGGGCGGGGCGCGGCGGGGCGCGGCGGGGCGCGGCGGGGCGCGGTGGGGCGGGGCGGGGCGGGGCGGGGCGCGGTGGCCTGCCAGGCGGGGAATAGCGCCGCCGCTGGAAGTGGGCTCCATTTGGGCGTTCCACCTGGGCGGCGCCGGCTTCGCATAGGCCGACTCCGAACGGCGTCGTTGTCACTCTGTCTCTCTCGCACCCCGACGGGGACACCCCACGAGTGCGAGAGAGACAGAGCATCTACGCCACTGTTCGGCGCCGCGCGTTTCACGGCTCGCCAAGCCGCTCCGCGCCGCGCCACGCCGACCGCAGCCTCTCTGTTTGCCGAACGCCGCGACGCGCCGTGACGTCGGGGACGACACCGTAACACAAACACGCTTCAAGGACGCGAAGCCTGGAGTCCGTCACTTCTTGCACTCCACTGCAAAGTCTGACGCACCGTGTGGAGTCAACGGACTCAACCTTGCGATACTAAAAGCCGAAGTGTATTCACTGTAAAAAATATGTTGTGAATTTACGACGGAATATTTTTCGAAGGGTTTTTGGGAATGTCCAAAAGTGCACTGTAAATGTTTCTTTCCTACAGGACTTTTGTAACAACGTAGGTTCGTCGTTAATTTACGAAGGTCTTGTAAATTTACGAAAATCGTAATTTCAAAATCTGTTGTAAATTTGAATGGGCTTCGTATTTACGACGGGCTTCGTTAATCTACGACAGGTCTTCGTAACAAACCCGGACCTTCGTAATAACGAAGGAAGTGTTGGCAATTTTTGCCGAAGGATCCGTCGTTAATTCCAGACGTATAATTACGAAGAATCCGTGTATATTAAGAAGTTTCTTTGTTTGAAACGAAGGTTCCCTGTAATTTACGAAGGATCTTTGTAGATTTACGAAGGTGCTTCGTAAATTTCCATTGTGATTGGAAAATCGGCAGAGATCTTTCAAAAAATTTACGAAGGTTTTTGTAAAAATACGAAGAGCTTCGTAAATTAACGAAGGAACCGTTGGCAATTTTTTTGCCGAAGGATCCGTCGTTTATTCCGGATATTTATTTTTACAGTGAATTGCACAGCAACATCGACTAAAACACGCATCATTTGAGTTTTGACTGAAGGAAGAATTTATTTCCGAAAGTGTGGTGGCTGGCTTCGGCCTTCCACGACTAAGCAGTCCATCACATTTCACCCAAGGAGCGCTCGGAAGTGGGTCATTTAGTGTGTCAGGCCGGAGGGCGTGTTTTGGCTATTTTGCATGGCGGGACGGGCAGCCGAAACGGAGGGTGCGGTGCGGAAGTACACAAAACCCTGGCAAACCTCGACGACGGCCAACTGAGTCAGCGAACGGGACTTCCACAACTTGCACGGAGGGTGCACACTGCACAGTGGGCCAGAAGACCGGTGGGGGCCGTCAACATCCCGGACGTGTTTTGAGCCCCAGAGTCGCTGAACAGGACTCGAACCGGGCGTGTGACCCTACCATCGGATTCCTCGTAAAGATGACTCGAACTGCACGTGTGACCCCACCAATGGATTCCTCGTTCGGAGAGCAATCCATTGGTGGGGTCACACGTTTGGTTCGAGTCCTGTTAAGCGACTCAGGAGCTCCAAACGCGTCGAGAATTTTGGCCACCCTCGCCGGTTTTCTGGCCTAATGTGTTGTGACTGCGTCCCCTTACCAGAGGCCCAATAATTGAAACGAAAGACAAGTACCCTCAAAAAGTTGAGTCGTATCTTTTCCGCTGGACCTATACGCATACACTGTTGCTTCAGGTTCTCTACATTGCGTGTAAAACGCGGCAACAGTGTGCATGCATGATGCATGGCTGCTCCGCTCTGGCGACTCTACTGCTCTACTGCACACAGAGTTCCGAGACCAGGAGGCCACTGTCTAGCAGTGCACCAAAAGTCGTCAAGAGTTCAATGTGGACGTTATTGTGTTCACACTCTTAGTGCTGTACAGTGAAGATTCTCCGGTAAAATGTTCCATAGTATGGTGGTGCAGCTGTCTCCATAACATACCATTCGGAGTTCCCTGTAACTTATAGATATTTTGACGAATCGTTGGTATTATGGAGAATCTCCACCATAATATGTTGGTGCAGCCCTTCACCGTAAGACATTTACAGTGCACGCATGATCGCCCTCGCCTCAGCAGCCCCGATTCGGCGCGCCGATGCGACTTGACTGTACCTA